ATAGATAGATAGATAGATAGATAGATAGATAGATAGATAGATAGATAGATAGATAGATAGATAGATAGATAGATAGATAGATAGATAGATAGATGGATAGATAGATAGATAGATAGATAGATAAATAGATAGATAGATAGACAGATAGATTCATTTGTGGTCGTGACATTTTTTTAAAGTTTAGTTTTGTTTTGTTTTTGTTGTTGTTTAGGTTATTTTTAGTAACGGGGGAGTGGCTGTTTTTTTTTTCTCCATTTGTCACCGAATCTTTAAGATTAGCTTTGGCTGAATAGTCTACGAGCACATTCCTCATACATCAGTACTATTTGAGTCAATAAATGTAATTAAAGATATTTAAAAGAGTAGGCACTAAGAACACATTTTGAGCAAGACACGACATTTTACCAAAACAATAAATGATCATTGAAGCAAACAGCAAAGGTGTTTGTGTTTATGATTAATTGAATTTTGAAATATTATGTGGAATAAGGAATACAGAGAAATGTATTCATTCCTCGTCCCAAACCGCCCACATCCCATTTCAGTTATAGAAGATATAATCGATTTTCTTTTACGTGTAGTCTGGAATAATATAGATCATTTATATTAAAGTGTGCTCTCATTTCAGGATTACATTCAATCCAGTAATCGAATGAGCGGGAACAAATAATCGGCAACGGCTTACGATAATATAACAATCAATGTGCGATTTGACCTATGTAATATTAAGTGAATCATTAGCTTACGAAATATGGCTCATTCTTTTCTTTTCTTTCGGGTTCTTGTTCTGTGCTTTTCATTATTCTTTTTTCTTTTTTGCTTGTTTGTGTGTTTGTAATAGCTGTTCTTTTTTATTGTTACTCTTTACCGTTTGTAGTGTCGCCCATACCTCTTAAACATTGAGCCTATAGTGCCGTAAAACACCTACTCAATCAATATATCAATCAATCAAACATGAACAGAAATATTATGTTTTCTTGCTATAAAAAATATGCAAGACTTATAAGAACCGGACAAACACAAAATAATGAACTAAAAGAAAAAAAGAAAACAGATTTGTATATATAGTATCGATAAATAACTGATCTAAAGTATAGTATTATATCTAACGTGGAAAAATACTTTCAATATAATACATAGAGTTTTTGATGTTTCTACTTAACTTTTTAAAAGGCTAAAAGGCTATCAGAGAACAAAGTCAATAGATAGAGAACTAGTAAGCTGAATGATTAAGAACTAAGAACAAAAAGAATCTGAAAACAAAATCGATTGTTGGCTAAAAGGTGGTCACTGTTGTCATCTCTCTATAAATAAGTAAATAAATAAATAAATAAATAATAAAGAAAGAAAGAAACAAATAAATAAATAAATAGATAAATAAATAAATAAATAAATAAATAAATAAATAAATAGATAGATAAATAAACAAACAAATAAACTAATAAACTAATAAAAGAACGAACGAACAAATGAATGAAGAAATAACTAAATAAATAAATAAAATACGTAAAAGTAGGCCTACCATATTGAAGAAAAAGCACTTTTTTAAATTAGTTGTTTGTAATCAAAGTTTAAGTTCGTTTGATAATTTTTCACTTATTGTAAAAAAAAATGGTTTGATGCTGATTCGGAAATCAATAGAAGTTTCCTCAGATTAAAAATGAGGCTTCATGCTCTTAAAAACAACAATATAAAACCGGTAACATGTTCTTATCTTTTGAGTGTCTGAGAGTGTTAGTTGCATTACCTTTTCTGTTTTTGTATTGCTTTCTTGTTTTTTTAGTTTTTAGAAGTTCAAGTTCAAAAGAAAAAAAAGATACCATGTACCTCTCGTATAATAAAGAAAGCGAAAAGAAACTAGTAGTTCAATAAGTTAATTACCTTTATAAAGTTACTGAAGTCCCGTAATCCGGCGAAGAGAATTCACATATATCTATCCATGCCCAAAAGAAAAGCGTCAGTGAGTGATAACATCATTACTGAAGCCGTCCTTTGAGAACACGCCCACACAAAAGCCGTCATAATTCCCAGGGTTGTAGGCTCACAGAACTAGAATTTGTCTCCCGATGCTGGCCATGAGGACTTCGCGTCTTATAGCATTCAGTCCCAACCACCGACCCACAAACCTTATTGCATACGCCCCTCTCCCTCTGACTTCTTATTCCTAACCCTTCCAAAACCTCTTTCTCCCCTCTTCATCCCCCTCCCCTCTCCGTCGTCCCCTTCCACTTCTGTCTATCCCTCTTTCCTTCCCTATCCACACTCACTCCCGCTACTACAAAACTGTAGCTCCTGTTTCTACTCACACACGATTACCAACTGCAAACACAATCCCATAGTTTGAGTCTGTCAACTCGGGGACCAAATACCCCTCAATACCCTCATTCCTCCTTTGCCCCCACCCTCTTTCATCTGTCCAGGCGTGCAACTCTTTTGCTTCTAGACCCACAATTCCCCC